ACCGACGTTGGCAAGACTCCAAGGAGGCTGCCTGGGCGGTTGCGCTACTGACAGTGCGTGTGCTTCGGCACCCTCATCACAGTGGAGTCTCCCTTGCGCCCAGGCTTTGGGAGATTGTTGAATGGGTGGACATCGCCCACCTTCCACTAAGGGCCAGGGGCGGCTTTTTCCCCTCAGGGCGCAGTCTCGCCTGCTCTAGCTTGGCTATGGCCTCGCCCCTCCCGCGTTCCCCAAGCCCCATGCTCACTAGGGTGGTAGAACGCCTCTTCGTCACGCCTTACCATCCGGTCTCCTAGAGTGGGCCACGCTGAGGACCTCTGAGGCGTCCTTGATTTCATGAAGAGTACGCCCAGAGGTGGTCATTGACAAATGGTATTATGCGCATCGGTTAGCCATGCATGACCCGGTGGATTGTCGTGAGGTCGAGTCGCTCAGCGACGGTCGACGTCAGGCGCGCTGCAGGAGGCGTCATGCCATGGCCAAGACGAGAGCCGCTTGCAACACGACTAAGGTTTCGCTCCTTCCCTAGGGCAACGGCGTTGTGGCATGAATACAACGGGGAGCGTCTGCACCTACCTTCCGACTCTAGCCCAAGGTGTTGGCGCGAGAGGCGAATGTTGTGTTCCTGGACATCGAAGCATCTCAATTGCTATCTTTAGAAGCGAAAACCATCGTTGGTGCTTTCCCCCATGATCTTCAACATCAAGGCCACCAAAATGCTGGTGGATGGGAGCGTGGGCCCTAGTGTCCTCTCTCCCATTGTCTTCAAGAAGATGCAGGTGCCCCTTGGCAGTCTGCGGTCTACGAATCCAGTCTTCGGCGTCACCTCGGGGATCTTCGTGCCGCTTGGACACGTGTCCTTGATGGTCACCTTTGGCATGCCAACTTTCAGACGGAGAGTGTTATCATCGATGTCGTCGATTTTGACCTCCCGTACAACGGCATCCTGGGGCGCCTTGCTCACCGCTCGTTACGCATACCTCGCCTTGAAGATCTTGGGGCTGGCGGACCCCATATCAATCTCGGACGACCTCAAAAGCTCTGTCTCTTGTGCAGAAAGGTTATACCACACGATCGCCGCTGCCGATGAGGGCGATGGGGATGCCCTCGCCTCCTACCCCGAGGAAGGCCATGCTCTTTGTCGATGATGCCGCCCCTGTTAAGGAGATACCGCTTTGTGATGACCCCAACAGGACTGTCAGATAGGTGGCCAACTGTCTACCAAATAGGAAAGTGCGACAACCCCAACAGGACCGCTAGATCGGTGTTCACCTCCCTACCAACTAGGAAGGTGTGCCAAGCGTCGGAGCATGAAGAATTCGGTCGAGCCGAGGTGAAACGCCTTTTGAAGGCCCGTTTCATCCGGGAGGTGATCCACCCTGATTGGCTCGCCAAATTGTGGACTCCACGGTTGGGTGTGATCTCTTGTCTTTCCTGGACGCGTATTAAGGGTACCATCAGATACACTTGGTTGAGGAGGATGAGAAGACCTTGTTCATCAGCTTGACGGGGATGCACTGCTAAACCTGCATGCCCTTTGGCCTGAAGAACCTAGGGTCCACATACCAGCGGGCTACCTATAGCCTTGGAGCGCAATGTTGAGGCTGCATCGATGACCTCGTCATGAAGACTATGGACCAGGACACGCTCCTTGAAGACCTCAAGAAGACCTTCGACAACCTTCGCCGTATGTGCATAAAGCTGAATGCCGAGAAGTGCGTCTTTGCGGCGCCGTCTTGCAAGCTCCTCGGTTTCCTTGTCTCCAGCAGGGCATCAAGGCCAACCTCGAGAAGATCGCCGCCATCAACCAGATGCGGCCCCTGGTGCGCATCAAGGATGTGCAACGCCTTGTGGGCTGCATGTCTGCATTGGGGACGTTCATCTCCAAGCTTGAGTGTGGTCTCCCCTTTTTCAAACTCCATGAAATCGGGCCCTTTCAAATGGACTCTGGAGGTCGAGCAGGCGTTCAAGGACCTGAAGCAGTATCTCATTTCCCTGCATGTTCTGGTGGCGCCGTGACCGAAGGAGCCCTTGCTGCTATACATCATGGCCACTCCCAAGTCGTGAATGCGGTGCTCGTGACATTAAGGAAGGAAGCGACGGAAAGCGGCCATGCGGCGTCATCCCCCTCGGGGCAAGATCGTAGAGCCCTAGCTCTCGCCCTCCCAATAGCACGCGAAAAGTCCCATCCTCGGTCCTACTCGCCTGGCCATGAAGGGGGCAGCTTACGGTTCCCCCGGGGACGAGGCCGACCCCGAGCTGCCAGGAGGGGACATCCCTGAGCGGATCCCTCCAGGCCCGGGGCGCCTCGTGCAGCGTTGTCTACTTCGTCAATGAGGTTCGACGCTATGCCAAGTCACACTACCCTCACATCCAAAACCTGCTTTATGTTATTTTGGTTGTGTCTAGGAAGCTGCGACATTACGTCTAGTCCAATGACATGTTGTCACCTCTTTCCCATTGGAGCGCATGCTTCACAACCGCAAGGGAATGGTTCGCATGGTGGAGTGGGTGGTGGAGCTTTTGCTAAGTTCGGACTCCACTTCCTCAACTCCCAATCAAAAGTTGTGCCGTTGCCGATTGTGTGGCAAAGTGGACCCCCGTACCCGAAGGAGAGCTTTTGTCCGTGTACATGGGGGCATCGATGCCCTGAATACTGGACAATGCACTTTGATGGTTCTCTCAATCTTCACGGTGCGGGGGTTGGGGTCGTATTCACGTCCTTGACGGGCTAGCAACTCAAGTATTCCACACTTTGATGGTCCCTGACGGAGAAGGTCCCCAACAACATGTCGGAGTACGAGGGACTGCTAGCTAGTCTCCGAGCAGTGGCGACCCTCGGGATACACAACCTCAGGTGACCAAGGACTACCGGTGCCCGAACCCATAGATGGCGGCATATGCGGCTCAGGTTAGGAAGATGGAGCAACACTTTGATGGGATGCAGCTAGAGCACGTGCCACACTCTGAAAACGCGCTGGCTGGCCTCCCTTCGCGACCTGTCTCCCTTGGGGACCTTTGAACAAAGGATCATCCGGTCGTACTCCATGTGCTACTAACGTCGAAATGACCCACTATGGAGGCTCAGCCTCGTCAAAAGCAAAGGAAGCAAACAAGGCAAATCTTCGTCGTCAGTTTTGCTTGTTGCCTGGAAGCAAACAAAGGATCACCCGCCGGGGAGGAGTCGTGCACGATGCGCGACATGAGGAGATACAGCTCGATGGCAACCCTTGACTTGGATCTCCATGGCCGAGGGGTTGCCGAGGATTGGAGGCATGCAGACATGCTCACAGGTGTCCTTGAGCTCCCGCCAGGCCTTGGACCAGGCGTCAGCAGTATCGTGGATCCGCACTGCCCTCGCGTACCACTGTTGCCGCAAGGCCTCCCTTCTCCAGGAATGCTATCCATCAGAGTTCGGGGCAGCTCGATTGAGTCCTTGTACGGCGTTGGGAGGAGAGAGGCGACGGACGCAGGGGTGAGAAGGCATAGGAGCCATGACGACATGACGGTGCCATGAGGTGGTGGAAGGAGAAGTGAGCGGCAGAGGAGGAAGGGATAGTCACGGACCGGAGAGCGCGGAGCCTCGCTTGTTATTGGTGGGAAGGCGAAGGTGATGGCCTCATGGTTAATGTCTGGGCTCGCCTCCCATTGCTCGCGCGATTGGGCGATGGGACGACACCTCATCGTTCCACTATGGGACCAAGGCAAAGTCTTGGTCGAGGTTGACGACTCGGTTTTTGCGCCCTCGGGCTGATGGCCTGACGCAACGATGACACGTTATAGGGTTTTGGTCCTCCGAACCATCGTGCCTTGGACAGATGGGAGGACCAAAACCCTTTAACCTCGCATGACCGGCCTGCCACGAGCCGGATGGGATGTTTGAAGATGGGCCTATTTGACTTAAGCTATGGCCAAGGACGGCAAGCCCCTGCCCACTCCATTCTGTTGACAGCGGAAGCCCAGGGGTACAACGACACGATGACACCGGAGGCCTCTACCTATCAGTACCCACTTTGTGCCGTCATGATGGCCCCCCGCATGGGCAACGTGCAAAGGGCGCCATCCCATCCCAACCGGTCGCACAGGTCGGAGGGGGGTTTCTTCTCAATGGACCATATAAGAAGGAAAGATGAGAGTCCATCCGGAGGTCTGGATGGAGGTCGATTATAGAACACTTAGAGCCCGCCGCGCCCGTTGTAAGGAGAGCTCTCATATATAGCAAAAATACACAAAGCAGGAGTAGGGTGTTACACCTCGCTGGTGGTCCAAACTTGGGTAAACATCATCCCCGTCGCTGAAGTGATTGCAGTGTTCAACCACTGGCAGAAAAATCTAGGAGATATGTCTGGTCTCCGATGTCGACGATCACCCGTCGACAGTACCATCACTTCATACTCTGCTGTTCCATAATAGAGTGCGTATATATATTTTTCAATAGTCAAACCTTGTAAGTTTGACCCAATTTGTTGAGGGAAATATGAACGTTAAAAAGATCAAATAAATAATAATGTGTCATGATCGTATCTAATCATCTTTTTATATTGTAGACGCATATATTTTTCTCTGTAAACTTGGTCAAAGTTTGAGTTCTCAAAAAATCTATACACACTATTTTATGGAACCGAGGGTTAGTATTTATAGTTTGTTCAGTTCTACTGCATTATAAGTCTTGTAACTTTGGCTCAACTTGTTCTCCGAGCTAATTTATCCGTATAACCAGTTTAAAGAAGAATATGGCTTGCTGATGGGATAACCAATCTCAAATTTCAAGAAATAACCTAGTAGAGCCGCTTGTTGGTGCCATAATCTTGTGACTGTTTTGCTTCTTACAACCACAGTTTGACATACAGCTCGTTACATGGTTTTCAATGCCTAATGACTCGTAGGAGTAGCAACTGTTGTTTGATGGATACAATCTTCTGTTATGTAATTTCTTTTTCCTCAACATTGCTAATCCACAAAATCAGTCTCTTTTGTTTGGCAGGACAGTCAATACATCCATGGATATTACTTCTACTTTGTTTGCTGCTCAATCTATGGATCTTAACTCCCGGTCAGCTGCAGAAGCCAGTCTTAAGCTATTCCAGGAGCAAAATCTTTCCGCTTTTCTCCTGTCCTTGTCAGCAGAGCTCTCAAGTGATGCAAAGCCACAAGCGTCTAGGGTACTTGCTGGTATTATTCTTAAGAACACATTGGACTCGAAGGATTCTGAAAAGAAGGAATTACTGATTCAACAATGGGTGAACCTTGATACATCTGTCAAAATGAAGATCAAAAAGTCTTTGCTTACAACACTGGGATCTTTGGTGGCTGTTGCAAGGCACGTCACATCACAAGTCATTGCAAAGGTTGCATCCATCGAGGTACCCCGCGGGAAATGCCCTGATGACCTCATTGGCATTTTACTAGTCAACTTAAAGGAGCAGGCTGCATCTGCTCCACTGAAGCAAGCAACTCTAGAAGTGTTTGGGTATGTATTTCAGGACATTCATCCTGAGAACTTGGACCAGGATCAAGCAAGTGTTATTCTGACTGCTGTGGTCCAGGTAGCGAGTGAGGCACATCTAAGCTCTGAAGTACGTCTCACAGCAGTTAAAGTTCTATACAGTGCTCTTGATTTTGCTTATAGCAGCTTTGCAAAAGATAGATCGAGAAGTGACCTTATGAATTCAATTATCGGTACTGCTGTATCTGAAGATAAGAACATCAGAGCCGCATCATTTGAATGCCTTGTTGCAATAGCATCCAAATATTATATGCACTTGAAGCCTTATATCTCAGGCATATTGAAACTGACAGCTAGAGCTATGGAAGATGATAAATCAGTGGCACTTCAAGCTATCGAGTTCTGGTGTAATATTTGCACTTGTGAACAGGTTGAAGTCCAAGAAACTTATGCAGAATTTGATGATGCTAATTCTGTTGTGAACTATCATTTCATTGAATCGACATTCCGTGAACTTGTTCCAATGCTTCTAGGAACTCTGTTGAAGCAAGAGGAAGATAAAGAGCAAAAAGGTAGTGTAAGGAAAGTTTCCACGAGTGGTATGGTGTGCCTTGGCCTCATTGCTAGAATTCTTGGGGATGAAGTTCTTCCTCATATGGTGAAATTCATTGATGATAACATCGAGGGGCCCGAATGGTATTGCCGCAGGGCAGCTACTTTTGCACTAGTTTCTATTCTTGTAGGACCCTCTGTTGAGGAACTTGTTCCCATGGTACGGAAGAAGCTTGATTGCTTGCTCAATAGAATGGAAGACGCAGACAAGGAGGAAAAAGCCACCATTGCACGGACTATTGGGCAGATATTTGAGATTTTGCATTCTCCAGCCAGTGCAAATATAATCATAACTAATAAAAATTGTCATCGTATCATGAATGTGCTGCTAGAAAGTAGTAAAGGTTATCCAGAAGTGACTGAAGAAGTCTTTCGAGCCATATATTTTCTTGCGCAAGGATACCAAGATGAAGAGTTGTTGCCTGAGCTTGCACCTTATATCGAACGAGCTATCAATGCTCTCATTTCTGCTTTGGATTGTGCTGATAAGACAAATTTCAGTCTTCGCACGTCTGCTTATAGAGCACTGAATGAAATTGTGAGAGTCAGCAAGATACATGAAAATCCCGACATTATAGGAAAACTATTGTATGATATCATGGAAAGATTGAACGGAACATTTGATTTCCCAATACAATCAGCAGACGACGTTAGGAATCAAAACGATCTACAGGCTTCTCTGTGTGTTCTATTGCGGATCATCATCCATAAATTGAGTAACTTAGTTGACAACTCCATTATTCCTGTCGCTGCTGACAATTTGATGCTCCTGTTTTTCCGTGTGTTCAATCACCGCACTTGTGGTTCTACTGTACATGACAAGGCTATGCTAGCTACTGGTGCTCTTGCTTATGCCATTGGTCAAGATTTTGAGAAGCACATGCCTAAATTATTGCTGAACTATAGTGAATACCAACTCACCCCTGTCTCTCTTGGGGTACTAGGTAATATTTGTCATGTCTTGGAGCATCAAATGTTGACATCCTCTGTGAAAGTTATGGATGTTTTTAAAAAGGCTCTCTCAAACCCGATGCTTGATCGGTCTGTCAAACCGGCAATTTTTTCATGCTTTGGAGACCTTGCCCTTGCCATAGGCGAGCATTTTGACGGATACCTGCCGACTGTTATGGAAATGCTTAAAGAAGATGCCGACCTTGGTATTGATAAAGAGGATGTTGGTTACCGCAACCAGCTTAGATGGGCAATCTGCAGGGCATACAGTGGTATACTAAATGGTTTTAAGGGCCCAAAAGCTCGGCTGATAGAACCTTATTTAAGCTGTATGTTGTCTTTCTTTCGAAAGGTCTGCGATGACCCGATCAGGTGCACATAATTTTGTTGCCAATTTTATATTTATTATATGTGTGACTGTTCGAATTCCTTAACATCATGTGCATATCTACTTTCAGTGATAAGAGTGTGGAACGCGCGGCGGTTCCTGTCATCCATGACTTGCAGGCCACATTTGTGTCGCAGGCCCAGGAAATGCTAGATCAACTGGGCGGCTCTGATCTCTAGGTCTGATACTTTGTTTCCCAGAGGTGGCTGAGGTTTTCTTTTTGTGCATTTGCCACACATGAATGTAAGGGGTAAATGGATTTATAAATGTACCATATTTTGTCCTAGTTTTTTTTTGTCGGTTGGGTCACTATGCATCATTTGATGGGGTTGACCTTAGCATTGGATTGAACCTATCGAACAGCTGAACTTGTTAATGTATTCTACTTACCGGTATATATCCATGCTGCGCTGCTTGTCTGTTTTGTTTCTTCACTCTCAGCAGACTGGGTTCATATGTTTTCATGCTTCCTGATATGAAGGTAATCATGCCTCGGTATCAAATACTAGCATGAAAGCATATGAAGCTAATCAGGTAGCATGAAAGCATACGAAGCTAATTATGCACATCTCCTCTACTTTTATTTGTTGAAATTTTATTGGTTGAGATGACTTCTGAACACATCTATGCACATCTCCTCTTTACTTTTTGACATTGCTGTACATAATACGTCGTCGCTGGTGTTCTCACTATACAACCGAATATGGCGCTCGGGTACTGGACGATGGAACCATGCGACAAGGGTTCTCCTTGCCTCTCTGCCTCCACCTTCTTCGTGCTCTCTTCTTCCAAAAAACCTGATTCTGTTCTCTCTTCTTCCAAGGATGCATATAATCTGCAATTTTGCTGAAATCGCAATTGCACATGTTGTACTTGGTCTTTGGAGTATGGTAATCTTTTTTGTCTCATCTTGGATGGTTAGTTTTATCATTCTGTGATGATTCGCTCGTGCAGTCGCAGAAGCGTTGTCAGGCCTGACCACGTTCCCGCTGCACGACATGTGTTCGCCATACCGAAGGCTGCTGCGTACCACAAAGCCGGCATGACGCAGTAGATTGAAGAGAGCAAAGTGGCTAGCTGCCGACGTCATGCACACACATTCTCACCGAATAGATGACATGTTGAGGCACGCGGCACGCTACACTAGCGTAATTTTTATTTTTCTACCGTGCAACCAAGATCATGTGCTCAAGAAAGATCATTAGATTGGGTTTTACCACTAGACATGCAGTCACACCAACAAAAGTAGAGTTGACGAAGCGCGTCTACATCTCGCGGATCCCTACGGTTCCTCATGGTTGTCCCGAACGTTTCGTTCTAACACTATAGATGCGATGCCTCTAAGGTATCCATAGGTACAGGGAGGAGGGCGGCGGACTGCTAGGTCCGGTCGCTCAACATATGGAGGTGGGGAGTGACGCGATGTTGAAACGCGTGCTCCACTCCCGTTTATATGAACCTCCCTAATGGGCTTCAACACTAGATGCCCATTAGTGCTCTAATCCTTGTCTAAC